AAGGAAATCAACCCTGAGGGCTCACTGGAAGGACAGATCCTGAAGCTGAGGCTCCAATACTTTGGCCATCTGATGAGAAGAGAAGACTCCCTGGAAAAGACCCTGATGTTGAGAAAGTGTGAAGGCAAGAGGAGAAGGGGATGACAGAGGATGAGGTGGTTGGACAGTGTCATCGAAGCGACCAACATGAATTTAACCCAACTCCAGGAGGCAGTGGAAGACAGGAGGGCCTGGCGTGCTCTGGTCCATGGGGTCACGAAGAGTCAGACACAACTAAACGACTAAACAACAACAAACAGTACCTAATAGAAAGATGCTGTCTTTTATTTCCTGTAGTATTAGATTATACAGTTTATAAGGGTATGACAAAAAGAATTACCAGGTTTTTCATATGCAGACTGGGATACATGGCATGGATGCATGAATACACAGCATTACAAGCAGTGAAGTAAACAATACAGCTGATACACCACGCAATCTCATTTTCCCCGACATCATTGTTTTATAGTTCATCCCCATATGCTACAGTACTCTTATTTATTCAGAAACTCTACTGATTGGAAGATGTTGATGAATGGTGGAGTACTGAAACTCTGTTGAAACTTAATAGCGACAGAGAGTGCTTTTTAGAATACAGCTTACCTTGCTCTCCTGCTACACAGCTAGGCCCAGGAGACATTGAGTGAGGGATAGGGCGGGCAACTGTAGAGCTCAGCAGATTAGTCCTCCCTCCACTACTGTTTCCACTAGCAACGTCAGAGGCACGGAGAGACAGGGCAGCTGAGTGCAACAAAATATAAGCAGTTTTTAAGTGACTGTTGGGAAGTGAACAAGTAGACTGTGGAATAAAAAAAGGTTACGGTGAGATGTTGCAGCAACGTATGTAAAAACTGAAATCCCATTCATCCAAACTTTGTAAAGAGATTCTCTTTTTCTACCCTAAGCTATAAAGTGGAAACAGATAAATAGAAACCATCAGAGAGAGCAGGAAGGAAATGGAGGAGAACCTTTCTCACTTTTTACTATGTGTGCAATTATCTGTCATGTGCAGTTGTTATTTCTTAATATTTAGGCAACAGGTTATTCACTATTGCACTATGTAGAAGACCCATTTCCATGAATAAGCAGTCTCTGACTTGCGTAGCTACACTCCACGTTTCCCTAACAGGATGCTACACTTTGGGTCTATCCGGAACATTTTTTACTTTTAGTCTTTTCAATGCCCTCTCTTGAGACTTCCAAAACTGACTTACGTAGCTACACTCCACGTTTCCCTGACAGGATGCTACCCTTTGGGTCTAATCCAGGACATTTTTTACTTTTAGTTTTTTCAATGCCCTCTCTTGAGACTTCCAAAGAATTCTATGGGGCAAAAGGGAACGCTACCAAGCCTTGGAACCGAAATGTGGGGAATAGAAAGCTTTTAATTGGTTTAAATTATTTCCAGCACCTGGATATGGTTTATGATATCATAATTACACCAAAAGGATTTTGCCCATTATGTTCATGGGCATAGTACTCAGATATAAATTTGGATATATGAATCAATCTAGGTCCCCATAAGAACAGTTACTATACTATCTCTGGTTGTATCAGAGGATTTGGACAAGAGCAAGGTTTGGTGGCTGGGGCAACTCTAATCTCTCTCTCTCTCTCTCTCTCTCATTTGGTGGCTGGGGCAACTCTAATCTCTCAATCTCTCTCTGCTTGTTTGTTTGTTTGTTTATTCATTTTTATTTTTTTCCTGTTCAACATGAAATTCTAGTTTAATTTCAGAATAGGTTACATAGCACATTATATACAGAAATATTCACATGATGAAAATTAGATACATTGTGGGGTAGTGGTGAAAATGTCATGTTACACCTTGGAAACATGCAGGTTCAAATCCCCAAAAGCCATGAAATTCACTAGCTAGGATGACAGAGCTGTTGTGAAGATAAAATGGGAGTGGGGAGTGGAGGACAGAAGGTAACTGTTTACACTGTCTTGAGCTACTTGGAGAACTGGTAGGGTTGTGGGGTAGAGATGAAATAAAATCATAATTCTCTCATTTAAACTAGCATGATTGTTTTTGAAATTATTGTTCAGGTAGATGAAATGCCTTAGAAATTTCTTGTGAGGAGCAATATTATATTGATCTCACAAAACATTTGCAGTTTCCTTTATTTACCTTTTTTTCTAGAAGGAAAATTATACAGCAAATAAATTTTTGGTTTGAGATAATTAATGTCTACATTTACAACTCTGAGTAAATGCAAATTGACCATTTTTTCTCAGACACTCAAATAGGTTTCTACTGGCCCTTCTGAACTCCCGGGAAGACACATTACCTGTTGCAAATGTGTTTCCTACAAGTTGCACAGGCAAAGCCATTGGTTTCACTATGTTCTTATTCCGAGACAAATCTTGAATTCCACTTAAATAAACAGCAGAGGAAGATTGTGCTTGACTGAATACCGAGGAGTCTGTCAAAAAAATTGTTGTAACTAACTACTTGGCAAAATCTGAAATTGATCTTTGAATTTTCCTTTGGTACTACATACATTTCCCCCTTAAAAACAATTACAGATTCCATAACTATGTGAAATATTATCATGATGTTGCTTATGTATTTTCTACATTCATAGCATTCATGAACTTCGATACTGATTTTAAAATGGCTTAAATTCTAAAACAATTTAGTGATGAATATTATCATTTAATCTATCCAGGCTACTTCCAGACAGGGAGTTGCACAATGTCATGAGTCGTAAAATGTCAAAATCTATACACGTATACTTAAAAGTAATGGCTGATAGTCGGTTCTGTGCCTCATGCACGTAAGGCTGACAACTTAATCTGTTGTGGAAATTTTTCAGAAAGAAACAATTTTCAATTCCCAAAAAGGTCCTAAGGCTTCCATATGATCTATCTTGTCACGTACAAGCCACTGAGGGCTGCAGAATGTGGGGAGGGGGTTCTTTGAGTCCTAAAAAACACCACTGGTAGGCAAACATCTAGGAAAACAGGTGTAGGATTTCAACCTAAACTTCTACATATAAGGTGCAGGCACAATATTCTTTCAGCAGATTTGTAAAACAGAAATAAATAGATCTTCCAATAGAATCATCATAATAAAATACATTAAAACCAAAATCAAAACTGATAGATTTCTGATACCCAGGTCCTACTTAATTGTAGCACACTCCATAAACCTAATAGTAATACAAATAGGTTCATCCCTAACAGATAGACAAAAAACTCGGAGTTGGGATGTCTTGCCCTAAATGAAGAAGGGGGGCAGATGTGGCCAGTTTTGGTAACAAAGGTGTGCACATGTATCTCTCTCTACTTTTGTATCATTGAATTTCTGTTGCCTTTCAAAACTCCACTTGACCAGAAACAACTGTTGGCTAGACAGTCCTACTGAGGTCTGAATTCTGTCGTCACCCGGCATAAGCACAAAATGTTTTATTTGCTGCAATCAAAGGAGACAGATAAACAACAGATAAAACAAGTCCAAATCAGGAGAGTACACAAGATTTTAATTAGTGTTTGCTAGGCTAGCAGCTTAGGTCATCCCAGTTATTTCACGAGACTGGAGAAAATGTACGTTCCATTAAGTGCATCATACCTCTTCAATGCCAGAACGGGCGGTGTTTTGTTTAGCTAGCTCTTACTGCTGCCAAGACCATTAAAGGTTAGGGTATTCTTGTGTATTTGTGTAGCATACTAATTGTTGCCCCTAATAACTGCTGCTTCTTAGTGCCTTTCAACTGCTTAAGATCATCAAGCTCAGAATCTCTAATTTGGAACTGAGATAAGAGCAAAGACATCCTCATAGTTATACTGGGCTTTGAAAAAGCCTAGCGACCACAGCAATTTGCTACATCTGTAAGCATGCTGCTCATTCTCTGCATCTCCACAGTGAAAACTGAAGTAAAGGGATCGGGCTTGTCATTTTGGCACTGTTCCTTTAAGGCCGCGATGGAGAACCTATGGCATGCGTGCCACCCTGCATCTCCACAGCGAAAACTGAAGTAAAGGGATTGGGATTGTCATTTTGGCACTGTTCCTTTAAGGCAGCAATGGAGAACCTATGGCATGGGTGCCACAGCTGGCACGCAGAGCCCTCTCTGCGGGCACGTGAGCCATAAGTCGCTGGATCGCTACCCCCAGCAACCAAACTTGAGGAGGAGGCTGCAGCCACAGTGCTAGCACCCCAAGAGGTAGTGGGCCAGGATCCAGAACAGCTGGCAGGGGATGGGCATGATTGGAGGCAGATCCAGAGTGGGGTCTAGAGGCACCTCTGTGCCCGGGATTCCCCCTTCCACTGCCGCTGCCACTTCTGCCACCACCCCCTGCCCGCTGGTTTGTTTGTTTTTTCCAGTTTGGGCACTCGGGCCCAAAAAGGTTAACCATCACAGCTCTAAGGCAATGGTCCACTACCCCAGGTATTCTTGGACTAAAACTCCTGGATGCCTTCATTGCTAGCTGTGCTGGCCAGAGTTTCTGGGAGTTGTAGTCCAAGAACACCTGGGAACTGATAGAAGCAAAAGGTTTGACTTATTCAAATGAGGCAATTGCCTCATAAAAGATTGTTCTTAAAAACAAGCTGTTTGTGTGTGTATTCAGAAGAGATTATCCAGCCTTGTAAAAACAGGCTCCTCGACCCCCCCTTTCTCCTTGCCTTTTCTTCTCTGTTCAAGGTCTCACGCTTTTCTGAGATAAGCATGGAATGTTGAGACAAGGGGCCCGATTTAGGGAAAGTGAATTGTTCTGCGCATGTCTAAAATGTGTTTTCACTAATCCAATGAATTGTTGCTAACTAACTTAATGACCTCAAAGGCCCACCCCTCTCGCCCTGAGGGGACAGCTATAAGACTGTACCAATTCCTTTGTTCTTTGAAGAAACCCTAATCACCCACAAATTAAGGTGAAATGGTTCTTTCAAAAAGGTTAAGAACCACTGCTCTAAGGCAATGGTCCACGTCCCCAGGTATTCTTGGACTAAAACTCCCGGATGCCTTCATTGCTAGCTGTGCTGGCCAGAGTTTCTGGGTTAGTTGTAGTCCAAGAACACCTGGGAATCCAAAGTTGAGAACCACTGCTCTAAGCACTGAGAGAAATCTTGAAAAGATGGCAAGTACAGGAAGGACTCCTAACCAAAGGACTTGCCCTGATTTCCCACAAAGTTTGAAAGGTGAAGCATCAGATCGGGGATAAGGCATAACATCCTAGAGGAGGAACAGCGTGTGGGTGAGCAATAGTTTTGGGTTGGTATCACTGATATGAATTCTGGCAATACCCCATACTGCTCAATTTGCTCATTTGTTTCAAGTTTTGTCTTTTGTGGTTTCTTTGGAGCCCCTTTTATCCTTCCAGTTCCTTCTGCGGCCAGATGCATTTCGAAGAAATTGCACCCTCAGGAATGTATACTTGTGGCTCAATGGGTGTCCTCTGCCTGCAACAGGTAAAATGGGACACATCCATTTTCATTATGAAAGCCCAGAATGCTCAGGTTAAGCGGGAATATTTGTTTATTTATTTATTTCCCGCAGGAAATGGTTTCCAGAAATTTGTTCATCTTAGCAACCTCCTCTGGACACATTTCATTTTGTTGATATCCTTCTTGAACTGAGATCCTCAGAAATGAACACAGTGTTCTACATGAGGTCTGAGCAAAGTTGAACAGCCTAAAATTCTATTAGATTTCTTTTTGTGACTGCATCACAGTGTTGATTCATGTTTACCCTGTTATCTACAAAGACCCCTAGATCCTTCTACACACACTACTGTCAGCATGCCATTTGCCAAGAGACCTGAAGGGCACCAAGTTGGCGAAAGCTGAACTAGAACCTATGGGATTCATACCTAGTCTGATAAATAAAGTAAGAGGGAGATTACAGAGGTTTCTATGTCTTACATGGGGGCTTCCCTTTCTCTGTAATTAAAAGAAACAAAATATATTCTGAAAAATAATTAGATGAATAAATTATACAAATTAAGGCACTCCTTTCTTACAATTTGCAAAATGTGTCTGGCTTGTCTGACACAGAAGATCAATACAGAATTCATATGGTGCAGAATTTTGCTTTTCCTTAGCAGACTAGATAGTCCTGGCTAATGTACCAAACGTATGTATACAGTATACGGTTTCTTTAATCCAAAAGTTACATATAACATTAGATCAAGTTTCCCCTTTAAGTTGCTGATATCCCAACATATCTAAAACTGGAAAGTATATTATTTATGGATAAAAAAATCTTAAACATGGAAACAGCCCAAGCTTGTTTTAGATTACACTAGTAAAAACAGCCAATGAGAAACAGCAGAAAGCAAAAGGAAGGTCATTACTAAACAGATTCACCACATGGAGAGAACTAAGAACCAGTAAAGTGAGGTAGTGGGTTTATGGGTCTGAGAAAAACGAAAGGGTTTGTCAGCCTTTGGAGAATGGACATTATAACTCTAACCACATTTGCCACAAGAATGATTGGGGTTCAAAATATTAAAGTCTTCTGAGGGTGATTAGAGCAGGGCCTGCTAGCCAAGAAATCTCTCATTGCCAGTTTATCTCCATATGTTGATCCCTCTTTTCATGTACATTTGCCCAAGCATTAGAGTCGGCAGAGGCAGCCTTCCGATGTATATTATCAGTAAGAATGACAGATCATGAGGAGATGCAACAGAGGGCTTCCTCCACTGGAGCACTCTGGGGTGATGGGAGTGCCCTCACCTCAACAGCCCAACTGGCACTCATGCTGCCGTTTATTTTGGTGCCAAATTAAAATGCAGCTGCCCAACCAAACAGCTGATCATCAGATTGAGAATAACCTGGTGTTTAATCCTTCACTCTGTTCTAATCTTGTTTTAATTACTTAAGTATTAAATTGTTTTGGAATGTTTTGTTTGAAAGTATTTAAATTAGACACTCCTTTAGGGCAATTTTATTGAATGTACATCATCCTGACATATAGGACACATTAGAAATATTTTAATTAATTACATAATACCTAGAATTAACTCACTTGTGGGACTCTTAAAACACCGAGTCATAATATGGCAAACATCTATACCAAAGATGGGCAACCTTTTGGAGCCATAAGTGCCAAAAAGCAGCAGGTCAGGAACTGCATGCTGGCAGCCATTGTGGCTGGAGACCACAGCTGGCAGGGGCTTGGCTGACAGTGCACAAGGCCTGGGATCCCTTCATCTCTCACACTGTATTTTATTTTTATTTTATTTGAATACAAAGCTGTTTCTCACTCACTCACAAACATGCACAAATATGTATGCCCCCTCATTCACGGGCTCTCTCTCCTTCTCCCCCAATATCTGCACAGAAAGAGAGAGAGAGGGGCTCTCTCTTACTTTTTTACAGGTCAACCCTACTCCCCTTTAGCCCATCTTTCTCCACAGTGAGGCTAGTGAACCAGATTTTGTCCTCCTCTTGAAAAGAATGGAGCTGTTACTGAGAGGCTCTTCAAGTAGTCTCCAGCAGTGACATATGACTCATCCCTGCATCCTGGAGTCCTGCTCCAGTGGAAAAGTAGCCTCAAAGAAGAAGCAGATGTATCTTTTAGCTACCATATCTCCAAAGATAATTTGTAAAGTAGGACTATTTCTACAAAAACAATAAAGAGTCTCCATGACACCTTGAAGAAGCAGAGTTAAATCCAAGTTTTAGGTCCAACTAGAATAGACCCACTTATAAGTCAACAATGATGCAAGTTCCACTGATTCAATGAGCCTACTCTAATTTTAATTAACAGCTGTATTTTGCAAGTTTATTTGGGCAGAAGCTTTTACTAATCCACAAAACTTTGTGCTATAATAGACCAGTTATTTTTTAAGTTGTTACACGGCTCTTTTTGTGTGTGTTTGTTGGTGGATTCTGATCTGAGCAGATGGCATGATAGCAGATAGCATATATCCCATCACTAACTTTCTAGGATTAAGAAGTTTTCTAAAATTGCACTTCGAATTAAAAACTACAGAACAATTAGTATATTTACTTGTGTGTGTTCCCAATTTATTTTAGGGGGGAAAGTGGCAGGCAGATGAGTTAAAGAATATAAATATAACATAACACATCCTCAAATTTGTCTCTGATTCCAATTTATTAGACAGAATTTGAACATGATGATGACACTGTGATAGCATCCAAAGCTTGCAATTTGAGGAGGATGTAAAAATGTTTTAGCAACTACGATCTGGCAAGTAAATAATGACAGGGAAGAGCAAACCAAAGGAAAACCAAGACAAGTTGATAAAGAAAAAGTAGAACACACAGGTAGATTTACTGACTTGGGAAATGTAACCTAAGACGTATGATTCCCACTGTTTCGAACTACGTCTAACCACAGAGAAACTACTAGTGGCTACAAAGAGATCAAGTAGCTTTTGGCACCCCAGAAAAGCACGTGTACTGACATTTGGCATTTGATATTTTTGCTTCTTGTTCTCTATTTAAAACAAGACAGGCAGTTACAATGCTATCCATTTTAATGTAAACAGTGGCCATTTTGACACAGACAGATATTGAGTTGTCTCAGAGAAGATGGATAACATTCTAAACTAGTATGTATTGGTGTGACAGCATAGCAGGTTTTCAAATGACACAGAAAGATGAAGAATGTTGTTATATTAAACAGAGCACAAACATGCACACACATACACACACATTTAATTTTATTTAGTCAATTGAATCACATTATGAGCTGCAGGGAATGTACTTTTCATCGCCCTTAATCCTGCTGCCAACTACGCATACTTATGTTGGGTGGGAAAAATTTGATCCCAGAACTTCTGGTAGATGGACATATATGATTCCTTAGTCTACAGTCTCAACAGTTAAAGCAGTATTACATTAGTTGTGTGTATCTTGGTTCCCTTGAAAAATCAATGGCAGTTTATATGAATGCAGACATTTATTTAGCAACAATAATACAAATACAATAATATTTTCCTGAATTGGCCTTTCGTCATTGTTGTTTAGTCGTTTAGTCGTGTCTGACTCTTTGTGACCCCATGGACCAGAGCACGCCAGGCCCTCCTGTCTTCCACTGCCTGAATTGGCCTTTAGGTAATGTCCAAAATATAATCAAGAATCTACTAAGTGCTGCTGTACAGCCTTGGCCCTTTGGGGGCATTCTCACTATTCATGATTACAATGGCTAGAAAGGAAAACAGGATTTACTTACTAGGCCTTCCTCAACCTCTGAACACCAATCAACCCTAATGCCACATATTGCAGGGCAAATTCTGAAGCTGGGAGCTTGACCTATGTTTGTATGCCGGCCATACAGGATTTTGTGTTATGCAGAGAGCCTACACACAAAAAAGTATCCGTTTCAGACTTTTCTCTTGCCACATGGATTGGGCCAGCAAACACAACGCAACAAATGCTCCAATCCTAGAAGTGCAGCTCAACCTTCTTCTGAGGGAAGAAGGCCTCAACTCACACATATATCCAAAATATCTGTTGTGGATCTTGTTCACAAACAACACTTAATTTATTTAGTAATTAATATAATGCTAGACCATGTCTAGCTAGGTTATCTCTTTGGCTGTCAGCATTCCTTCCACATATGAAGCAGAGTCATTTTCCAGAATCCTGTAGGTGTTTGTTTAAGGTTTACATAACTTGTTGAAGTCAACTGTGGCTAATTGATGGAGCGGTGGGATCAGTCTTGGATGCATATCTGCTCACATGCCTGATTGTGCAACTGAGAGACCCCCTTGGGGTGGAAAAAATTCAGCACAATTAGCCACAGCAAGTTTTGTGAACATTATGCAAACCCTGATAGGATTCCAGCCACTATTGCATAAATCTCACCTCTAGGACACAATTAACTCTCAAGGCCTACCTGTCTGGGTGAACACTGGCTTGTATCCATTAGCTGTTCCACTCTCAGGGGTCATGGATGGAGAAGCTGAAGAACTAGGTTTAGCAGAATGGCTAGCAGTAGAAGATTGCCTGCTTCTACATTCTGCAAGTGAAGTAGCTACAGTACATATGAAGGCAGCCAGACTTGACAGTGAGACAATTTAGCATTGACAAATGTTAATTAATCACATTTCTAAAAGCTCAAAAGCACATCCATTTTAAGACTGTATATTAAACAACAAAACTCATTCAACAACAACAATCTTAGACTTTTTCAAATGAAGTTTCTTTTCAGTTAAGAAATCCTCTATACTTGCAATAAATATGAACCTGCTTTGCTAGGGAAAAATTAAAGAATGACTTCACACAAAAGAGCTTACTGGAAAATATAATTAATGCAAAAGCAGGAAAGGAAGGAGCAGGGCAAGAGCTGCAAGGGCTCTTGCGCAACCTCAGTATTATACACAGTAAAACACTTCACACATTGTACTAAGGAACTACACAGGCACAGCTGCACTATACAAGGTTTTGCACAAGTCACATGTGGACTCCAACGGAGAGGATAAGGAAGTGGCAACACTAAGTACTATCACATCCACAGGTCATGAACATGCTAGCTAGATAATGCCTTTTATGAACTTCAAAACAGACAGTGGTTTTAACTTTTAATCTCCTCCATTAGGAAAACCAAACAGCAGGAGCAACATAAAAATGATTTCTTAGCATAAATATCCAAACACCAATTGTCGCATATTCTTAAAACACAACATTTGGCCTCAGGCTCTCTTGATCTTTGTATTAAATTTTACCAAACTTTTCATTTCCATTGTTTTTACAGATCTCTTCCTGTCTCTTTAGTAAGGGGAAACATGTACTTGAGTGTTGACTGGAGGAAAATCTAAGCTGTAGTTAACCATAAACAACAATTGAATGGTTTGGAACTAACCCTTCCCCGACCTCTCGAGTAACCTTAGCTCATCTGGCTGTTGTCAGGTTGAGGGAATAAACCGTGTGTGGTGGTGCCTTCAGCTCCTTTGTTGGAAGAGTGAGATTAAAGTGTAATGTATTAAATGTTTTCAAATAGGCAGGTTTTGGTGTTTATTTTGTTTATTACAAAGCTCTGCTATTTTGAAATAAGTTGTAAATCCTACCTGAGCCGGAAGTTCTAATATCTATTTAATACAGTGGTGCCTTGCATAACGAGCGCACCATTTAACGATGAATCCGCATAGCGATGCGGATTTTGTGATCGCTAATGCGATCGCATACCGATGTTTGAATAGGGCAAAAATCGCTTTGCGATGATTGGTAAGCGTTTTGCTTACCGATCTTCGCATTGCGATGTTGGGGGAACAGCTGATCGGTGGTTCCAAAATGGCCGTTGGAACACCCAAAATGGTCGCATGCAGTGTTTTCGCGCCCTGCCCTCGCTTACCGAGGGCGCGAAAATGGCGGCCGAATGGGGAAACTTCGCTCTACAGTGAGTTTGGGCCCCGTTGGGCTTTTCCGTTCCATTTAGCAATGTTTCCCCATAGCGAAGGTTAATCCGGAACGGATTAACCTCGCTATGCGGGGCACTACTGTACATCCATTCACTATATGCTCATCAACTCTTCTATGTTTCTAGTAGCTCTTCACTGATATGGGTGAGCATACAGTTCATACAGGGACACCGAGCTTCTAAGTAAAGCTTTTAGGCGTATAACTAAAATGTAAAGTGTGGATCTAATAAGTAAGATTCTGAATGTGTGCTTTCACTTGTTATGCTTCTTAGTGGAACAAGATCAGCTGCAATTCTTATTTAGCATAGACTTCGCAGCAAATCTTGCTTTGCTGTCATGTGATGAGTAGAATGGTCCTTCAATTAACTAAACACAGATCTTTAAAACTATATGCCATGTCTTGCTGTCATCAGAAGACTCCCCGTCTTGTAAAAAGCTACTTGAAAACATGCATTTACTATTTAACCAAGTCAAATTTAACATTCTCTAATACTTAACAGGATACTTGTTACCTTTCCAGCATATAAGGGGTCCCTTTGTCAGCACACCTTGAGAGCTTCTTACTAGGTAGTACTTTAAGTGCTTCTGCTTCTTTGGCTGAGTGGTGAGTTTCAGGTTAATGTGGTTGGAAAATTCAGTGAAATATCGAAATCCTCTTTCTCCACAGCCTACACAATTTCCAGAAAAGCCTAAGAGTGAGGAAAATAACAAATTATTCTTTCCTGACTAAGCTTTGAAACAAACCATTTAACTTCTGTTAAATGTTCTTCTCTTACAATTTATGTTCTAGTCACCTCTGTGGCACATACTGTACTAACATATGCTCAATTACACAAGGATATCCTGAAATACAATGGGTCTGAGACATAAAACATCACTATTACTCAAGTATCACTTACTTTCATTCCACTAGTTCCTGTAATTGCTGACCCACAGATGAAATATAAATCTCAGTCTAGACTTCTGATTAAACTCACATTTGTAACATCTCCCATTTTAGGAAACCAACAGGCCCACAGAACACAGACCAGAACACAGATGCTGGTGGGTTTCCATCAATGTAATACAACACTCAACAAAGAAAAAGTTCTCCATTCCTGTTCCAGAATGGAATTCAAAGAGGATAAATGGTCAAAATTGAAAATGTTACTAAAATGTTAGGAAAAATCAATATAAAGATGCTCAAGACATCTTTCATCATCATTCTTTTCTAGGACTAGAATGAATCTCAAGATATCTTCACAAAATCATCATTCTTTTCTAGGACTAGAATGAATGCAAGGATTATATATCTCCCCCAAACTTGCATGTTTTTTAGTCCTCAGTTAATACTGCTTCTGTTTTCCTTCATTTTCAGAGCTTTTTTTCTTATTAAACCTTTTATATGGGAAAAGAATTTGAAGTTGTCAGAAGAAATGACAGAAAGGAAGACAAAAATATTCTCTGTCCAACAGAATTCCCTCATGTAAAAAAAAAATCTATGTCATCACAGAGGTTTTTCCTCTTACAGGAGTTTAACATAGAGCATAAATAAATAAATATTTGAGACAAAGCACTTAGTACTGAAACAAACATTGAAAGCTCATCACTCTAAAGAGTACTGTAATCTCTTCCGAACATAAAAGACCTTGGAAGAAAGGTCATAAGGTCAAACTAGTTTTGCAAGGTGGCTAAATTACATCTTTAATTGGGCTTCACTGGATACAGCTAAAGCTATATGTTTTCTTTGATCCACTTAGTCCCATTTCCCACTGATTTCCAAAGCATGATGACAGACAACATCTGAAAGACAGTAGGCATGGTGCAACTAAACCATATCCTACCCATCTCCCTTAACGTTTAAAATCTCTAGTTAGGTAATTTGTTAAGCATAAAGATACCTACAGCAAATGGCAGTTGTAGTCTGAACATTTAAATGTTACCTCCCCCCTTGCCCCCCACCCGACCAGTGGCCATGCTGGAATTCTGGAAGTTGTAATCTGAAAAAGTAACTAAAGTAACTAAAGTAACTAACGTAACTAAAACTGCAGTTTTAGTTGTCTAATCAATAGTTCACATTTATTTTCATAATGCTAGCAGAGACAAAGCTACACACAATGATAATGATTTGTTTATTTATTTATTTTATTAGATTTTTATCCCACCCTTCTAGACTATGTCTACTCAGAGTGGCTCACAATAAAATTATTCACAAAACAATTAAAACCATGAATTAAATCGACAATGTTAATATCAAGATGGAAAATAGAACAAAAGATCAAGTAAAAGTAAGAGTTAAGTATTGACAAGAGGGAAGGCCTGCCTAAAGAGCCAAGTCTAATGACAAGTGTATTCAACAAAGCTCTTATTTTAAGAATAGTTTTTTAGACTTTCAATAATATTATCTATTTGTTTGAAGTGGAAGAAAACAATCTGTTCCTGCAAGAGTCAAATTTTTGTAGCAGAATGTCTCAGCCCACACAGTTTCAATGTTTTAAAAACTATTTAACATATTGTTGCACTGCATTGTTAAAAATACTGGCACCACATACTGCTTTAAGTACTGTACGTTAAGTTGAAAGGCTAGAAGTGACATTATGCCAAAGAACCCTTCCCAGTTTACTGCATAAACATTGTGTCTCCCGAAAGGAATCTTACAAAAACCTTTAAATAGAAGTTGTTGAAACTAGATAGTAAAATTACAACCAGTTCATTAAACAGATATTTGGTTTAGAGAGTGTTTTTAACATATAAAGCAAGTCTTACAGAAAAGGAAGCTTGCAAATAAAATTATTACAGAAAAAGAATACTTCAAAGAATTTATATACAGACAGCAACCAAGCTTTGCTTTGTACTCAGTTGAAGATATCAGTAGAAACTGATATCTATCTGTAAATAGAGTTATTACTAGGTAAGAATTGTGACTGAATTTCATGCTGAATAGTAATGATCTAACATGTCACAAGCAAATTCCTTCTATTCATGAAATGGTCCATTTATTGTTTCCTCTCCCATACCCTCACTAAATTAGTATGCTTAATCACCCAAGTTACCCCAAATTTCTAAATACCATTCACTGGCAGGTTTAGGCTAATGTTTTCCTATATTATACTGATGAGAAATTGTACTGAAGTTGACAGGTGGATCAATGTACCATTCCTTGAATCCCAAGAAGAGAACATCTGGCCCCAGGCCTAATTTAGCCCATGGGAGGACACTTCTCATCTTCCGAAATCTCCAAACCAGACAGTGGCCATGGAGGTACGGTTGGAATTCAACTCTTATTTCTGATCTCTGATTAAAGGTAAGAGTGGGATTCCACTGCACTCATCTTGCTTCATATCCAAACCAACCATCGTACGATCAAGGAAAGCTGATGTTCTGTAAATATTACCTTTGTAATATAATGTAGAACTTAAAATATGAATTATTAGTCCATAAAGTAAGAAACTCAAACATTCGGATACAAAAAAATGGGATTTATTTACTCTCTTTCATCCTTGCTTTCAAGCCTTTGAGACTTTTGACCACAGTTTCTGTTACAAAAACTAGACGTTGATTTTTTTTTTCTAATGAAAAATGGGTTTATAAAGCTTCTAAAACCCCACTGGCCAGACATAAGAAGGCAGCAGATCATTCAGTCCTGCTATTCATCTTTCAAATATTTACATTTATATAAGGAACCTTCGGCATCATTAACTGGCAGACTCACAAAGTCAGTGAGGGTATCAAAATAGGTAATAAATTCTGAAAACACATTGCTTTTATGTTCTTTCTCAAAACCTGTGACGTGAAATGTCTTATAGGAACAGCCAGCACTTGACTATGAAGCAAGCCAAGGCACTGGATGGATGGAATGTGGGGTGGTGAAGATTCAGAGCCAGCCTTAGATAACCTAATAAAGGGGGATTTGGAACTTGTATGTGGAACTTGTCCCTTTGCATGTTCTAACCAATCTAAAAATAGTAGGTAGAAAACAGCAGTGGAATTCAGGAGACCAACAGAGCAGCAGTATTTTCTTTTCTCCTTAGGGGCTCTGAAAGGTCTCTCAAGTATTCAGGAGAAGTACTATACAGTTTTTTGGGGATCTCTGTTGCCTGTGAAAAGTACCATCTGCCAGCAGGATGGCATGTTTCTGACATGACCATGTAAGGAAAGGAAACTCCACCTTTTACATTGCAAACACAACTGCTGTTTACACATCTATATATCTCAGAGAAGGGACACAGAGAATAGGCAGATTCTCTAAAATTTATATTTTCTGGAAAGGAATTCCCAGAATCTTTCAGCCGGCATCACCATGCTGATCATGGGCTTCTGTGAATTGAAGTCTTAAAAAAAGAAAACTTCTCCAATCTCTGAGCATTCATGTATTAACAGTGCAAGAGTTAAAAGGGCGCTGGAACTAGTTTATAAAATTATTACATGTCAATTAAAGACATGGCTTAATCTTCATGGCTGTATTAAAATCTATGCATACACCAAAGGGAGGCAGCCTTTGAGCATTTAGGGGCTACTTTAACATCTTACCCTCTTTTTTTCTCCCAAAAGATTTCATATATTTGCTACTTAAAAACTATTATTACTTTTTTTAAAACTTTCATTAGATTTTTACACCGCCCCCCTAGACAAAGTCTACTCGGGGCGGCTTACATATGTGATTAAAAACTATGAGAGAGGATGTTCAGACCCAAATAATCCTCTTTTTAGAAATACGAAGTAATGGGTGTTTTGTCCCCTTCCAATTGTTGGAGGAGTCTGGGAGTCACACAGGGCCCCTTGGTGGTTATGTATCACACCGATGGCCCACACTCTGCTCATCCCCAGTGTATAAAGCATAAAAATATAAAGCATAAAGATACAGCTTAAGGAGCTTCAGCAGTTGAAGTTGACTATTTCTGGAAAGGAACTTGCAACAATTAGACTGTTAAATGGAAAAAAAAACTAATAATACCTATAAGACCTCAGCTCATGTGCACATTCTGCTAATGGTTACAGCGCTGTAACCATAACTAAAGGGTATGATTTACGAGGTCTATTCCAGCTTGGACAATATTACCAAATATTGGTTTTGCTTAAGAGTAGACAATAAAAAATAAAGAGCTTTTAAATGAATTTAAACATATTCCAGTGAATAATCCAGGCACTCAGTTGGCTTTGCATAATATTTATCCAAGCACTGTACCAGAGATTTGAAAATTAACTCTTTATTTTTACCCTAATTCCCCCACACATACACATCTATATCTATGCTGGCTGGGAGAGTCTTGAGAATTGTAGTTCAAAAAGGAACTTTTCCAAGCTCTGCTTCAAACATTGTAAACAGCTCACGGTACAAGGGAAGAATTCAAGAAAATCCATTTACCTAAAAGTGCATTTTTTCCATGGTCATCTGGCAAAAACCTCTTGTCAACAGCACAGACTAGAATGTGCTCAGGAAGATTTGGAGACTTGGCTCCCACCAACAGGAAGCCTGCTGGGATATCAATCTGTTCCATACACAGCGATACTAACCGCAAATCTTTGCCTGCTTGACAAAAACCTGAAAAAAATAATGAAACATATGAAACATCTATGAGTGATTTACTATGAGTGATTTACTGTTCCTTGTTCTTCTTAGAACTCAGGAGAATACTGGTCATCAAGCTAGGCCTACTATTTTTTTTCTCTTCCCTCATAAAACAATTGCCTGTACTAGTTCAATGTTTTATCAATCCCGGAAGCACACATAGACAAAAGGCACAAGGCAAATTGGTAATATATAAAACAATGTAATGTAGTATAGTACACACACACACACACACACACACACACACACACACACACAAGCTATCCGTTTGTGTGATGTTCTGCTACAATGAAAGACATCAGCAGAAATCAGTACATCTTTTACTGTACACATGAAACAATTTTATTTTAATCTATTTTTACAATGAACCTGTGAAAATAATCTCACAGCGATGGCAGAAACAGAGCAGTGCAAATAGGAAGAGTATCGTATTTTTCGCACCATAAGACGCACTTTCCCCCCACAAAACAGGGGGGGTGGAAAGTCTGTGCGTCTTATGGAGCGAAGAAAACATATTTTCCTGTTTTCTTCTCCTAAAAAAATGGTGTGTCTTATGGAAAGGTGTGTCTTATGGAGTGAAAAATACGGTATTTGCTCTTCTTTTTTTCCCTTCCTCTAACTGGCCTATATTTTCCTTTGTCTTGATCCACATAAAACCATATTTAGACCTTTGGATTCCAAAGCATGGACACAAAGCAGAGACGGGCACCTAACCACACCACAACCAACCCCAGGTTTGGCTGAATGCAGTTACGATGGTCTGCACAACTGGGAAACCAAGTTGTGCAGAATGCCTGCTAGTGTAGACAATGGTAATCACATTCAGCCAAAGAGTCATGGCTCTAATTAGTCCTTCCCCATCACCATGAGGAGATAATTGGGGATGGGGAGCAGGGCCAAAGAAGATGTCCCGAATTCCTCTCTAAGCTTTGGAATTTGAACACCTGAGCAAAGCATAAGAAAAAAATGCACAACAAAGCAATCTTCCACATTGCTATAACTAGGAACAGCTCACGAAGGGAAAAAGGAGGAGAATGACAGAGCCCAAATCAGGGAGAAGACTTTGCAGCTCTAAACATGCGCAACCTATGGATTTGACTATACATGTAAATATAAATACAGATATAAATAAAGGATTATGGCCACAAAATACAAAAGCTGTAACCACAGGAGCAAATCAAAGTGTGTTGAGCTTAGATCTTTATCAGGACAGATCCTTAAACCATGCCTCTTCAGAAGTGCTGGGGGTAAGGCTTCCACTATTTTAACCAGCATGCCAATTAACACTTCTCCATTTCTCTTTCAGCCAGCCCTTTCCTCTACAAAGGCCTTGTAGTGGTCCAGGCACTAGAGTAGCTGTGTCAGGTTTTGTGTTTAATAGTAACAATTGCAGGGCCCCTTCCAGTTCTGCAGTTCTAAGATGATGATGACGACGATGACATCACCAGCCGAGCCACGTGAGGTAGTAGCCTCACTGTGGATTTCCCATCAGAAGCACATATGCATAGTTAAGTGTCCATATCTGTAAATAAACATGCATCAGGACCCCTGTATCTGTGGGATCAGTATCTGCAATTTCATTTAGCCACGATTTAAAAATATTTTTTAAAAATCCAGAAAAACTATTTTCGCAGTATTAACAGAACCAGCCATTAGAGGGAACCAGAGACTGTGCTATGAATACTTAGTAGTTAAGATCACCAGCCGAGCCACGTGAGGTAGTAGCCTCACTGTGGATTTCCCATCAGAAGCACATATGCATAGTTAAGTGTCCATATCTGTAAATAAACATGCATCAGGACCCCTGTATCTGTGGGATCAGTATCTGCAATTTCATTTAGCCACAATTTAAAAATATTTTTTGAAAATCCAGAAAAACTATTTTCGCAGTATTACCAAAACCAGCCACTAGAGGGAACCAGAGATTGTACTATGAGTACTATTCATTGTACTATGAATTAGTTAAAACTACATAGCATGGTCTCTGGAGTCCTCCGGTGGCCAGTTCTGCTGATGTATGTGAAAAAAATTCTGTTTTTTTTTCTTTTTACCAGTTAAGACTACATAGCATGGGCTCTGGAGTCCTCTAGTGGCCAGTTGTGCTGACGTATGTGAAAAAAAATATGCTTTTTTTCTTTTTGCCATGCTATATATATAGCATGGGGATTGTTTCCAAGCCCCCCATGGATACTAAAACCCGCAAATAATATATATCCATTGTGGGCTTGGAAACAATCCCCAGTGGATATGGGGGTCCTACTGTATATTGCAGTGACTACAGTGGACCCTTGACTTACAGCCAAAACCAGCCACTAGAGGGAACCAGAGATTGTACTATGAGTACTATTCATTGTACTATGAATTAGTTAAAACTACATAGCATGGTCTCTGGAGTCCTCCGGTGGCCAGTTCTGCTGATGTATGTGAAAAAAATTCTGTTTTTTTTTCTTTTTACCATGCTATATATATATCATGGGGATTGTTTCCAAACCCCCCATGGATACTAAAACCCACAAATATATATCCATTGGGGGCTTGGAAACAATCCCCAGTGGATATGGGGGTCCTATTGTATATTGTAATGACTATAAGGATGAGATATTGCATTTCAAAGTTTACTTCCATTGTGTGGGCCTATTTGCATGAGATATTGCATTTCAAAATTTACTTCCATTGTGTGGGCCTATTTGCATCCCACACTTTAAAGAATTATGTGGGAAGGAAACTAGGCCCATGTCCAACTCTAAATCCTAACTGGAAGGGAAGATAGAACAAGATTAAGTACACTGGCCGACAGTTAACTGAAAGTTCACATTTTGCACTTTCCCTGCCTCCCACGTGGGTTTTTTTCAGTTCTTAACTCAAATCTAAGTATGTAAGTCAAGTCAATATTTTCCTATGAGAGCGGTTCTTAAGTCAAAATGTTCTTAACTCGGGCCGTTCTTAAGTCAAGACCCCACTGTACTGGAGATGCATGATATGGCTGGGGAAGAGAGAGCTCATCCAGTCTCTTTGGGATCAGACCATGGAATGTCAGTGGGATTCTCTCCTTTTTTTAGTGGAAAAGGGGAGCAAAGAGAAGGGTTTATTTTGCATACCTCAGATTATGCAAAGAACCATGTTAGTCTGGGTGCCCTGTGCATCTGAACATGGGGCACCCACTTTCCTGATCATGGCTGTGCTAATTATTAATACGTTCCGATCTTTAATGTTCAAATCTCATGATCTTTGTGTCTGGGGCAGGAAGTCCTGTTAGCTTTTGCTGAATTCTAAAAATTCTCTTGAGGAATCAAGAAAGCATTTAGGCTTCTATCCAGTCCCAGCAAATTGCACATCACCTTGACAGGTGACAGTAGGCATGAATTCTCCTATCCCTCAATAGATGTAGATCCAGAGGGAAACTTTTATCTGGCATAAAGGAAGTTTCTTTACACAAGTGTGGCCTCCTCTGTTCCTTTCTGGAGAGAGACCAAAAAGAGAGGAGAGCAAGAGCTGCAGAGAAAAAGAGGGAAATGAACCCCTTTCTTTTCCTTCTCCAGAAGAGCCTGGTTACCCAATATTTGGCAAAAGAGTTAGTGAAAGAGTGGGGGTTTATAGGCTTTTTTCCAAAACTAGCAACTGCAATTTTTTTTTCTCAATTGTTTATTTTCTGCAAAGTGGAGATGCCACTACTGATACCTACAAGTCATCTTGCAAAGACCGTTTTCCTTCCAGAGGAAGAAATCAAGGCTCCTACTGTGCAGACACCTACTTGTTGTTAGTATTTATTGTTTCATGTTTTTTTTATGACTTGTGCATTGCCATGAAGAAGTTTTTGATGGGCCAGAGACATTTACATCTAAAATATAATAAAATATGAAGAGAGACACACATATGTAAATACTGAGCAAATTATCTGACTCATGCATTGTGGGGCTATCTTGGGCACAGCAGTTAGCACCAGGGGTCTGCAAGGAACCAGGTCACTGCCACAGGCACCTAGAGATCAGGGAAGTAATGCTACAACTTGATACAGAAACAGCATGAAGGTCTCAACTGCTACCATCCTTATTCCACAAGATTGTGGTGAGGCATTATTAACTCTTTCAAGGTCAACATTATGCAGAAGGCATTACGAAAGCAATCTGACCTGAGGGGATAATATAGTATTTAACATGAACTGTCTAAGCCTGTGTATAAAAAGCTGAAGATCTGAAAATCAGGGTAGCTGTCTATACACTGCTGCTCCCCAAAAGAAATAATTAAATAATCTACAGATAATGCAATAGAATATTTCACCACAGTGAAGAAGACCGTACCTGAGGACCTGTGTGTTTACAGCATGCTACCTACAGTGGAACCTCGACTTACGAATGTCCCTACCTACGAACATTTCGACCTATGAACCACTCTGTTTGCAAAATTTTGCTTCAACTTGCGAACAGAGCTTCGACTTACGAACACAAAAAGGCAGGGGGAAAGGGCGGGAAATTTGAATTTACTGTACTAATTGTTGGTGGCAAAGAGGCTGCTTCTTTGTAGCTCTTTTGCCCAGTGATTGCCCAGCGCCGGGAGGCTTTTGCTGGCTGGGTTTCTTCGGCCACTCGCCCCCAGCCACAGAGGAGACAGTGATCGCCCAGCACTGGGAGGCTTGAGCTGGCCAGGTTTCTTCGGCTGCTCACCTCCCAGCCCGCCTCCTGCTTGCTCCTCGCCGCCCTCCGCCGTTTGAATTTCCCACCATCGGCCCACAGAGGGTGGCGCAGAGCAAGTGGACGGCGAGCTGGGAGGTGAGCGGCCGAAGAAACCCGGCCAGGCTCAAGCCTCCCAGCAGCAGCAGTCACAGCAGCAGTTGAAGCCTGGGAGGCTGAGGACACTTTGGACGGGTAAGGTGCTCCTTTTTACTTTTAAAAAAGTTGTTCTGGATGGTTTTTAGAAGGTGGGTTTGGCCTGGTGGGGTTATGTTTCTGTGCTGTTGTTTTGTTTTGTTTTCGATT